CAATTGCACTGGTGAAAGACAGAAGAAGTTTTATAAATAAAGGAGTGTTCAGATCTGGACTCAGTCTTGCCTTAAGTCTTGAGCAGAATCACTGTAAAGAACCATGCTGAGCTTTAACCTCTTAGCGCACCTCCTGCCAGCTCCTGGTAGCTGCACCAGCGCGTGCCCTTGTGTCTGCAGATGGTCTCTCTGCCTTCTCTGGACTTGCTCCCTCAGGTACACTAACCTATTCCTTGGAAAGCCCCAGAGCCCCCTTCCGGGGGCAGGGAAGACCATATGGTGAGACATACGGTCCCCGTGAGGCCTCCTTATGTCCTGGTTGTGCAAGTTGCTGGAGTGCGAGACTGAAGGCCAAGTGTCAGAGACATCTCCGTGTCACAGCAACACCATCCTGTCAAAGTGTTGCTCTGCGTATGAGAGGAACTGTGGAAAACAAACCAAAATCCAAACTCCCTCCTGTCATCACCCTTAAGAAGGAGAAACCATTAAAAAATTTCATGTTCCAAGAAGATAAAATGTCAGAGGTCTTCAGTTTTAAAGCTACGTGATAGAGCTTTCATGAGTGAAAAGAGGGGGATTCATTTTCCCTGGAAGTCTGTGTGAGAGAGACCCCTTGACTGTAGGAAACCCCAGCCTTGATACTTTCCACTGAATCTGTGTGAAGATAGCAGCTTAATTTAGAAAACTAAAAAGCACAGCTATGCAAGAGTATAAACCCTGTTGAAAGAAGTGGGACTCACAAAAGTTAGCAAAGAGATACGGCACACAGCACGTACAAGGCTCCTCATATTCCTGCCATTCACGCTTCAGCATTCATACATTTATTTTAAACTTGTGTTTGAATTAATCCTAAAGAACCATCCTCAGTGACCTCGTTCTCAGTGGGTTTTCTTTTGTGTTTCCCCCAGCTGGCACCGCGGGGCTGCCCTGTGTGGGACTGGCTGGTTCTCCACTACCTGTCCAACATACAGGGAGGAGCAACAGGCAAAATTAGCACCCAGCACTAAAGGAAATTTTCTTTGTCTGTATTTATTTAACTAACTGTGCATGCCAGACTGTAATTGGACCCTTAAATGGAGTGAATGGATTGATTTGGTCTGTTTGTTTAAGCTGCTAGAAGTCATGGGGAGCCGTACGTTATCAACTAGGTGTGTTAAGTCTTAGGCATTTTACAGATAAGATTCTGGATGAGCTAACTTCAGTAGAGGTTAAAATAAGGAATGGATTTTTTTATGATCTGAAGCTGTAGTCCACCTCTTCATCTTTATGGAACTGTTATGTTATTCCATTTAAAATAAACAGATTTTCCTTCTCAATATGTCCCTAAAGAAAAGTTGTTCTGGAAGTGCTGAGTTTATTCAAGGTTGCCAGCATTTCAACTTGACAGTTTCAGTGGGGCATATAAATCTCTAAACAGCAAAAGAGTAAGTGGAAATCTTAGGTTAGTTTAGTTTTTGGATCGGCACTATTTCCTTTTTCTAACTTTTCTGTCAATGAAATTTTAAAACCCTTTAAAAATACCTGCTTTTTGGGTTGTGCTACTCTTCCTCACACCCGCACTACACTTTGGAAAGAATCCCACGCAGAAAGAATAACTCATAAAATTTATGTTCTCTAAACTCTGGATGTTATTTGCAAGTTTATTTTATTGTTAGCCTAATTCTAAACAGTTTTGCTACAGTGCTTTATTGCCTAAGGTACAAGTGAAAATTTTAAGCATGTGCCTATTTTTATTTTTTGCTTCACATTTCGTGTGCTAATACACTGCTTTAAGCTTTAGTGTAAGAATGTTCTTTCAGTGTCTGCAGCACAAAGTTGACTTAAAAAAACTACGAATGTAATAAATCAATCATAAACAAAGGAGGTGCTAGTTCTTAATGTTTCCTGCGCTGTGGGAGACGGTAGGTAACACTTCATGTATCCTAAATCATATATCTCTACAGCTGGTTTTTTTTGATTTCCATAGGCGAAGGTGTCAAACCATTTACTCCTGAGAAAGCCAAGGAAATTGTGATGTCTCTACAGCAACCTGCAGTCTTCTGTAATATGGTTGGCGACTGGGCAGCCCTGCACTGGAATGTGAAATACCTTTCTGCGGTCTTGGATGGAAAGACAATCCAGTTTAGGCTAGGACTGAAGACAGTGGATTTAGGTGAGAATGAGGTGAACAGGTGTTTATGTCAGCCTCTTTTTTACGTTCTGCAATTGTTTGCCTTTCCATTACCACTGTTCACTCTCTAGTGTGTTGCTTTTCACTGCAGGCTGTTTTTAAGACATGGGATTTGGCCAGCAGTGGAACTCTCCTTTCTCATGTGTGTATTCTTAGTAGGAAGTCTGGTGGGTAACACTAACACGGAAGAATCAAGTGTCTCGGTTTTCCTTCCTTGCTTTGTAGTGTGGTATTTTTGGTCCAGTCTTACACATGGTTAGATTGTTCACATGAGCTGAGCTTTCATATCCACAAACACGACTGTGTTAAAGAATTAGCCAAATAACTAGTCTACCTTTGGATTTTTATCTGTAAAATGATGACAATTCACACCTTCCTCCAGAGGCTTTAAACGGCTGTGATGATTTTTGGTGATGAAAGATGCTGTAGAAGTATAAGATGTTAAGAAAATCATTTGACACCAGTGCAGTAATTTCACCACTAACGCTCCAGATTCACTCAGACACCTAGGAACATGCCATGGGAGAAAGACAATTTTTGCACTTGATTTTAAATACTACAACTTTTTCTGTCTGCAGCCACACAACAGTGTGTCGTAATTTGCCCATGGACAGAGTTTCATATCAGGGAGGGAATATACTAGAAATGTGTTCCAAGGTGACAATCTGCTAGCCACTTGAAAGGTTTTGCATTGCTTTATTTGTGTCCTGTACATTCTTTGCCCTCCCAACTGCATGCCAAAATACATTTTGCCATTCACTTTCTCCCTTTGGCCTATAAAGCATACCGGCTCCCTTTAGGATTTTTTTTTCTCCTTAGGCCAGAAAAATCCAGTTCTTAAAAAATGTTCTATGTAAGTCACAGTGTTTTAGACCCCACCTAGCTATTCTTTCTATAGTCTTCTAACCTTCTTCAGTTGGACTACCTCTTTCTTGGAATGTAGGGTCTGCACAAAGACTCCGGATGAGGGTCTGGCAGTTCCAGTGAAAGTGATAGGATTACATCACATTATCTTTCTTGACAACACTGTGTGAAATTTGCTTTTTTTTCACAGCATCATGACCATGTTATTGCATGTTCAAGTTTTGCAAGAGAAGTGGGTGATGAAACAGAAGAGTTACAGGGAAAATGCCTGGCATGTTAGGATTTCGAATCATTTTGCAGGCATGGTAATTGAATTGATGATTCCTGTGCCATTCCTGGTAAAACAGATGTTATTTATTCACTTTTTACAGTTGGGATAACTGAGGTATAGAATCAATACACTGGTACACATCTTCATAGCAATATCTCTATGGTTCAGTGAGGTACCAGCCAGTTCTTGCACTTCCTGTGAAAGGCATCCCACTGCTGATAGGGAAGGTGTCACATGTATAAATATATGACATTTTTCTTTGATACCTTGTTAATATCTCAGTTGTAACACACAAGGCCTACCAGGTAAAAGAGTAATTTTGGTCCTACTCTCCATTAATTAGTAGGCACTTTTTGAGGGCCAAATGCGTATGCCAGCTGGGAAAATTTCTGATGGGATTGATGGAGTGTTATGTGGCTAAGTCACGGCTTGATGCTAAGTAGATAAGAGTCATCACTTAACAATAACTTGTAGTCACCAGGGATATAGTGTGGATTGAAATTGGTATTTATATCTTGAATCATCTATCTGCATTCTTCTTTTTCCTAAAGGCATCAATCCCTATGCAGCAATGAATTTATCTCCAGGAACCTCCATTATATGCTAATGTGAGCTAGAATTGTCTTCAAGAAGATGGGTACAGCCTTCAGGGGTTATATTGTAACTGAATGAGACCTGTGATGCTATAAAAAATTTGCATTGTAAGGATATATTAGTGAAGCCATTATCCAAGCCATCTCAAAGTCTGAAATAATGTAACACATTTCATGTGCCACTGTCATTTGGAAGGTGGTTGATCTCACTCTAGAATGCTTAACACTATTTTTTAATGAGGGCCTCTCTTTCTCATCACTCTTCCTGCTGACTTTCCTAGATGAAACAGTAGCAGTCATGTGGTTAAGAAGAGCAACAGAAAAATACAAATAAAATTGTATTGATCTCTTTCTGAATATTCCTTCCATATTTACAATAGATTTATTGCCTTAAGGGTAGATGGGACCACTCCTGCCACTGTGTTGGAAACATGTAAAAAAAACCAAAAAGCCATTCTCCTACATGGAGGTACATTTTGGTGTCACTCTGGAATGGCTCCTTCAGAGTTTCTGAGGTTATTTAAGCCATGAGGTTCATCTGGGAGACCCAAAATTACTTGAGACCTCTTAGTATAGCAACTTCTCGTCTTTCCTTAGTTCCTCATCTGCAGCCTGGATGGGATTCCCAAACTGAAGATTCTTTAATATAAAAAAGTGAGAATTGCAAATGGGGCAGCTGGGTGGGATTTGTGTGGATTTTGTACGTGCCTTTTTTGCTAGTTTTTAATTTCTTAAGGCATGTGGACGTGAAAGGCACATTTGAAACATGGAAAGTATGGGAGCTAGCAGTGTTATTTGTGTGAATTATTTGTACCTACTTAAGTTTGTGTGTTTGATAGTACTCTGTCTGATTTCACAGGTTAAACAGTATGTGTCTATAAGAGGGGGGGAAAAATACAATCAGAGCATTAAGCATTGACAGAGATAAGATACCTCCAGAGACAGTACCAGCATTCATTACAACAACAATGAAGGCACTATTAATCAGGAAATCCCTACCCGTCAAGTTCCAGCCACGCTAAAAGATTTATTTTTCTCATGTGGGATAAAGGGTGGGCAAAAGCTGCAGAAGTCTAGTTTCTGACAGAGGAAATGCAGCATTATAGCCCATCTGTCTGATGGCTACCTGGAGCACACCAGCAAGTACAAAGGAAGAAAAAAGCTTACACAAAACTGATTTCTGTATGCAGCCATTTCTTATTTTGACCATTTTCTGTGGTTGTAGAGTAAACTGAATAAACAATGAGTTTACTGTGAAGAAGCTGGAGAGAACAAGAAGTTGTCATGCTGATCAGTTTATGAGTCACAAGATGTCTGGAGGAAATTTCTCTTATTGATGCTGGATAGAGCTGATGCCGTCACATATACAGCTGGTTAGAAAAGGGCTGCAACTTGATCATCTGCCCAGGAGGTTTTACCACTAAGGATGGTAGAAGAATTCAGACCTCTGAGATTTGATATAGGAGGACTGCAAAGGTGGCTATAGACTCAGTAGCTGAATAGGAGGCTGAAAATACAGTACAAATGCTGTACACTGATTAAATGTTCCATAAAGCTGAGATTTGAGGTGGTTATTGGAGTTGGATGTGGATGGCCAGTTTTGTTTGTGAGTGTGCCTGTGCTTCGTTATAGTATGAAATGGCTATTTCTTTCTTGGATTATTTGTTTAAATAATTGAATTCCCCAGCAGCTGTGAATAGATGTTTGGTTTTCTTTAAAGAAATGGAGGAGATATTTCACTTGCATTCTTACTGGAGTTTTAGGTATTTTCTAAGGCTGTTATGCTTTTTTCCCCCCTACATTTCTCTTAGTGTACATTGCAAACACTCTGAGAAGAACAGAAGCTGGTGTCTGTCAGGTCCAGACCTTAACTAAGGAGGGGAACTGCTTCTCAAGAAACCACTTTTTCCCTCTCTTTCTCCTTCTGTTTCAATCTGTGGCATTAGGTGGGAGACAGGAGGACTTTTATGCCTTCAGATACCATGACATCAGACAGATCTGGCAGCCCACTTTAGACTTGCCTGGCTAAATCTACAATTTGTCAGTTACAAACACCCTCAGCTTTTAGTCATTAAGTATTAGCAAACTGGTTAATAATGTTCTTGCTTTTATTTGCTTATTGCTGACATTTTCACCCCTGTTGCAGCCTACAAGCTCATCTAAGCAATCTGTTTAGATTGCCCAAATATGTTTTTTATTACTATTTATTTTTCCATAAGCACGCACACCTTGATACTGAACAAGTTATAAATCAAAGCAAGAACCCTGTCCCAAGGAGATTGTATCCTACAAGACAGTCTTGCATTTCATAGTTGGATTTTATTTTTAATGAGCCTCAGAGTGAAATACACCGTGAGGTAAAAAGAGCATATTTCTTGCCTTTAAAACATTTACTCCAGAGTTATCTTGGAAAACAGGCAGTGTCTTAAGCACTCTTTGTTCTCATGAAAGGAATACAGCTACAGAGCCACCTTCAAGTAGTGCTTGTGTCTTTTATCTAATTTTTCCATCAGACCATCTCTTAGTAAAATGATGTGCATTGCATTAATAACTGGGTATCAGGAGAGGGACTGCAACACAGACATGGGATCAGATATAGAGGTTTTTGGTTCTTGTAGGTAATTTATATGACTTGTATGCAGCCCTTAGGTAGGGAGCCCTTCTACTGCACAGACCCAGGTTATGGGTTGCTGAATAGCAAGGCTTATCGGACACTTTTACTTAATGATTTGATAGTGTGGGGAAGGAAACCACTACACCTAGGCTACTGCAATGGAAAATAGCAAAATAATAGTGATAAAGGTTTATAAAAGCTGTTTTCCTGCCTAAAGGGAGTAAGAGCGAACGTATGATACTCTGTGGGAATTGCTGTGGTAACAAAATGAAAGTGGTAAAGAACGAAGAGCTGCTGCTGCACAACAGTGAAAGGATCCCATTTCTGTGCAGCTCTGTGCAAGTTACACGAGGTTAAATTGCAGCTCTGTCACTGTCATTCATTCAGGCTGCAGTAATTTTTCCCCAGTAGCAGTTATAGTAAAGTAATATTTTTTTAAAAATTGGATGTCTCTTTGAAGCTGGCACGATTAGTGGAAATGAGGATCTCTGGTTAAGTGCAATTAAAGTATACTGTGATGTGGGTTATCCTGTAGAACTTCCAAGTGACCTGACCTTGAGCTGAAAGGCTGTATCAGTCAGCCTGACCAAAGCATGATGGGAGCAAAACACTGCTGGTAAATACTTTTAGTGTCTGCCAAGAACACTGCAATATGCTTTTGTCAGTCCCAAATGAAAAATAAGGGCACACAGCATTTTAGATGGATCATTGGCAGCACGTGTGTGGTTCCATAATTTACTTTCTATGCATTACCCTGCTGGTTTGGTTATTGCTTTAGGGAAAGGGTAAGATGAACATGTCCATCTGCATAAATCCATGGAGGCAAAATAAAGAGTACACAAATAGTTGCACGTACATTTGCAGCTCACACTTAGGAAGGGAGATGAAGCGAAGTTGTTTAGGGAACTTGGGCGTATTATTGAGTTACTGTGCTGAAGAACAACTGTAACTATTGGTGTGCTTTTTGTCTCACAGAAAGTTCAAGGTAATAGTCATTCACTTAAACCTTAATGAGAAAAGCAATAGTCTCAGACTTATATGAGTTAGGTGATGAGAACTATTTTATTGACCAGAGTCAAGCCACCTAGTCCCTCTTCATCTCTCATGTTGCATTTAAGCAGAGCTGAGAGACAAACTATGTGTTAATTTTACTGGTTCTGTGCTCAATGCTCATGTAATTTTGGGCTTTCCTTTTGTTGCTCTAGTTCCCCAGTTTGAAACCAGGTGTAGCTACGTGGAGGCTACACTTGAAGAGTTTTTGACTTGGAGTTGTGGGCAGCCTTCTTGTCTCTCTGGACCATTCAGTTGTTATGATTCCTCCAAATACTGGGCTTATGCTGACTACAAATACATTGCCAGGATATTTGAAGACAAGCCAGAAATTTTCCAGGTAAACCATTGATATTATCTCTTCCTAGTTTAACCATTACAAATTATATACTGTAGTTTCTGAAACTTCTACTGCTACCCCCTCTCTGCCCCTTTGGCCATTTGTTTTAAAATTTTGAAATAAAGGCTTTTGGCTGTCAGGCTAATGGAGAACTAGTACCAAGTGGAAGCCATCTATAATTCTGAGTCTCCTTATAAGTTTAAAAACAACACCCCAAGTGACAAAAACAGCTACCAGGTTAGAAGTACTCTCCTTCCCATTTAGCCCAGCATTTTGTGACTGAGAAGGCTTGGGGAGCACCCAGTCATGTATGTGATCTCTGCAAATGAATGCTGAAGGTATGAACATGAGGTAGGAATAAGGAGTAGAGAGCAAAGGAGTAGCTATCAGGCCTGGCATGTGGAAACTTGAGACCCTGCTGCTGCCCCAAATCCACCTGGTACCTGAATGGTGCCCGAATCAACAGCTTCACTCAGGAGAGAGGATTTGATGGCATGTGTTAGCTTGTAGCAACAAGGCTGTAACATGGTTTTGCTTCATGTTTTGCCTTGTGGCTCATTTTCTCAAGTAGCAGAGTTCCTTTCCTTAATGTATTTAGATTAAATGTTTGTGAGGAGGAGTCTAAATCTGTGGCATTATTATACCTTAATTTTCTGTGGAAGCAGCAAAATACATGAAGTAACCTGTCGATGGATGTATGTAGTCTATGGTAATTACCAAAGGCTGGTGTTAGGACACCTATCTTTTATTTTCTCTGTGTCTATCTGCTATTTCAATGTATTGGTTCATCTATATTCCTGCTACTTCTCCTTGCAAATTATAAGCAGGCAAAATTAAGGATAGTTATACAAAAGGCGTACCTTTTCAAAAGGTATAAAGAAAGAGTAGTAAATGAAGCCTTATTCATTTCTGTACTTTGAAAAGTGAAAATGGAACCATAATACCCTGCAAAAACTGTATCACTGGGATGTCAGAGAGTGCAAACTGATAAGTCCCCTCAAATTAATTATTTTCTCAGAAAGCATTTCCCATACTCCTTATATGTATTTTATTCTTTTATACCAGTAAAATTGGTACTTATCAGTGATCAGCCTTTTTTCAGACTGTCTCCCATTGTTCTATGGGTTGAACACAGAGATCATCTTACCTTTCTTTCTTCCCAGAAAGAAAAGGTAAGGAAGGAAAGCCCTTCCTAAGCACACTGAAACACAGTCAGGATCACATAAACTTGGGCTGCATGACTCTGATACTGGTTCATGTTGCTTGACCTAAGTTGAGAGCTCCAGGGATCTTTCAGACTTCCCTAGATCTTTGCATGACTTCCTTTTTGGGTCTTGTCTTGGTCTTCTCTTTTACTGCCTCGACACACAGCATTTTCTAGTGTTTGAGGGCACAAGGTAATAGCAGCTCAGAAGGCCTCAATAGCCTGCTGCTTCATTCGGTCATTAAAAACACACTTGAAGAAAACAATAATGTTCCTACCTCCTTTTTCCCCTTACCTCCATTCAAAAACAAAGTTAAGGCTCCAGGAATTGCATTTCTGTGCAGGTGTCATACCACAACCTGATCCCCTGACCTATAACAAGCAACAGATTGTACTGCAGTTTTAGAATAGACACTTGTAATGGTTATGCCATGGATTTTTTTTAAAAGCAGAATCTGGGAAGGAAAAAAATCAATGGTGTTATGCAAGCAAATATGGTGTATGTCATCTGCCATTTTCACAGGCATGGGAGCGAAATGCATCCATCAGTTCCAGACTCATATGGCTTCTGAAACACTGCTACACAATTTATACCAGCCAAAAGAGTTCTTTGTAGAAACTCTCTTCCATTCTTGTGTGAATTTGATGATAACCGCTTTTTTTCTTTCTAGATTTTATTTAGATTTACGTAAGGTGATTTGAAGGGGAAAAGAAGGCCAACTGCACTGTTATTTATAGTGATTAATAGGGCCATTTAGAAGTTGTTTGAAATTTAGATTGCACTGTTTATCATTTACAGTTGTGTGGGCTAAGGTAATGATTCCATTATTCTAATCTATGAGCAATATCTAGCGTCTTACATTTTTTGTTCAGTTGATATTTCATTACAGAATTTGAGATATAAATCAGAAGCAAGATACATGCATGAAGTTTAAATAGAAATGAGACCTTTTAAAGTGACATACGGGTACAGATTAACTTCATTATAAGCAGCAAATGAAATAAATATAATTCACAAGTAATGTGCCATCTGTTATGGTTGGAACACCTTTTAGTACATTTCTTCTTACTGTGGTTTTTTATTGTAGAAAAGGAACCCACTGTGACAAGATTTCAGTAATATTACCAGTTCCTTTTCAGTTCATCAGCTAAAAACTATTTTACCCATAATCGCTTCAACTATTTACTACAGCAGCAACATTTTCAAAAAGTTCTTTTAAATTTAATATTGATTATGTGTGCTTTCTTCCCACTTAAATTGTAACAAAATACAAAAACTATTTAGGTGTGAGATTAAAGTGTAGAGATGGTGTAACGCTTAACGTTTTCACTGAAATAGTTGTATTGGATTTTAAATTTTATGGCTGCTGAAATCTATAGGATCAACGTTTTCTTTCTGATCTTTTGCTGTCTTTGACAAATGTTTATATTACACTTCTGCATTTTTTTCAAATGCTATCTTTAAAATCAATAACTCTGAAATTCAAAATCTTTAGCAACACCTAATTTTTGGGAAGGCTATTGCTCATTTTGAGGGCTTCCTGATACAGAGTCATGGTGAAGTCATCCTTATAATGTCTAGCTTTAGTTTGCCTCATCCATAGATCTTGAAAAAGGATAGTCATCCACCTGTCAGCAAGCAGCTAGCTTACATACTTAAATTAGGAGGCCAGACTCCTATTTTCTCTTTATAGACAGCAAAAAGGGAGAGACTTTTCCAAGGTGTGATTGAGAGTGCTCTGACTAGAGCAGGAGCCAAGCTTAAATTAGGTTACTAAAGTTAGGTGATATGAATGACCCCAAAGTGCTCTACTGAAAGGGAACAAATACCATTATTTTCCTTTTCAAAATGGGAAAAATAAAGCTCAGAGATGAAGCGATTTGCCCAAGACCATCAGGAAGCCAGGATTTTAATTTCTGTTTCCTATGGCTCAGTCTGGGGCTCCAGCCAAAAGGCACCAGTATGTCTGGCCAGTATACTTCGAGTGCTTTCCAATAAACAAATGATCAGGCCCTGCAGGTGGCAGGGTGAGCTGTAGAAACATGGGAAAGCTTTATCCAAGCTGTCCAGAACCATTCTGCAAAACTCTTGGACTGTCTGAAAAATACCTCGCTGTGCCTCGTCATCCCCAAGGGATTGGTTGTGGGAGGATAACAGAAGGGAAGGCGCCGGGACCATGTTTGTAACACATTGCACGGCTGTTCTGCCCTTTCTCACCATATAATCAAGTTGTCTCAAGTTCACAGTCTCTGCAGTTGCAAATGTGTCCACTAAATAATAAGAAAACTTCAAAAAAGCAGCATAACACCGATAGAGAGATGTGGTAAAGTCTGTGTTTCCAGACTACATGGAGAAAGCAGAGATAGAAGCAAAGAGAGCAAATATGCCCCGTGCATTATCAAATTGGTTTGAAAAGGGAATAGGGATTTCTCTTTACTTTCTTCCTTTCATTCTTTTTTTAAATGCCATGTATAAGAATTTCTCTAAAAGGAATCCTGAGCTTGAGTGGATGGTTAAGAGTGGAAAAAGTTAAAAAGGAGTGTTTGAAAAGAACAAGAAGCCCCATGTGGCCATGAGCATTTGGGCAGTCCTTCTGTAGAGCAAAGGAGGTAACTTGAGTGATGTGAAAGGGAGGGATGAGAACTGGAGACAGAGATCTGAGAGGTTGGGTAGTCAGAAGAAGAAAGTCAGCAGAAGAAATACTGCTGGAGAGGATCATTTTGGAGGAAGGGGCACAGGCCATGCATGCTCCAGAACCCCACCAAGGATCAACAGCTGCAGTGGATAAAGAGTGACTGAGCAGTGGAAGGAGAAGATGGGAGACTGAGAACTGAGGGTAGGATGGGAATCAGTTCAACAGCTTACATATGTAACCTTTTTGTTGCTGTAGGATATAAGGTGGTCTGACTTTGGTTTTCCTGGAAGAAGTGGAAAAGAGAGCACGCTTTGGATTGGTTCTGAAGGAGCAAACACCCCTTGCCATTTGGACTCCTATGGCTGCAACTTAGTGTTGCAAGTAGAAGGAAGGTAACAAGTGCATATGCATACAGCAAATAAAGGGGAGAGTTACACTGTGCTTAAAGCTAGTTTTGGAATCTTTGAGTATTAACTCTAGATCCTGATTATTTTAGTTATCTGAGCTCTCAATGATTGAAGAGCATCATAACTATTCTACAGGAAATGGCAGAACTTCAGGGGGTTGGAGTTTGGCTGGTCATGGAGCTAACACAATTTTATTTTCTGATCTGTGTGTTA